TGGGGGGGGGGGGGGGGGGGGGGGGGGGGGGGGGGGGAGGACCAGGCTGGCCCTGAACACACAATCTTGCTGCCCTAGCTTCCTGACTGATGGAATTACATATACATGCTGCCATACTCAACCTTCTTATTTGTCCTTTAAGATCTGGTTCCAATTTCATTTCTGGAAGCCAATTTAACCACTAGGTGTTTTGTGCTACTTTATCATTTTGAGCATGGAGCACTTACCACAGTGAGGACAGAGGAGCTACTAACACTTTTAAACATCTAATATGCCAGACCCCAGGCAGCCTATTTTATCTAGTCCCATGAAATGTTCAAACTAATTCTGTGTGATAAGTATCACTATGGCCCTATACATTGAAGGGCCAGAGAGTCAAAGCTGAAGTCACATCTGAGTTCATTATTTCAGCAATGTCTTTCCCCCTATTTGTTCTAAGGTTAATGGCACATATTCAATTTATGTCTTTGGAACAGCCAAACAAATGTCGGGAATAGTCTAATACCACAATGAAAGGCTCTACAAGTCTCTCATCTTTCAGGCCCTGCAGTTTAGATACCAGAAGGGTATTTTTCATTCTTCATTCTTCCAGACAGTTTGGATTGGGCATCTTTAGTTACTTATAGGAAAAGGGTATCTTCATTTCTTTTAGCTGTGTGTTCCCAGGCAAGGGATGGTAATTTAATAATCACACTGCCATCAAGCCAGAAACACAAATGTTGACATTTGATTGTAGTGTTTTCCCTCTCAAAGTTGCTTCAAGTAAATATCAATGACAATCCAAGTAAATGAAGTAATTATTTAAAAAGCAAATGGAGTATAGTTTTCAATATACATATTCATGCTTTAAACTTTCCACAAGGCTAAAAGTAACCTATTGAATACTTCTTTTTCTACTCACTCTGGGACGCTGTGAAATGAGAAAATTCAAATTTGCTTCTAAGAACAGTTTAGTATCCCAATCACGGCTTTATTTATGTTCCATTAAAACAGTAGTTAATGATTCTAAAGTGTGGCCCAACAACACCAGCCTGTTGGGTATGCAAAGTCAGGATATATCTCAGACCAAGTGAATCAGAAACCCCGGGAGCTGCCAGTGGTGGTGGTGGCGGTGGCGGCGCATGTCTTTAATCCCAGCACTCATGAGGCAGAGGCAGGTGGATCTCTGAGTCTACAAAGCAAGTTCCAGGACAGCCAAGGTTACTCACAGAAACCCTATGTGGAAAAACCAGAAAACAGCAACATATAAACCCTGGAAGAGGAACCTGGCAGTGCGTTTTAACATGCCTCTGGATAACTGTGAAACAGTCAAATCTTAGTATTGATGAAGCAAATCAACTGTGTCATTTGGATTCATGGATATTTTTATAAAAAAAATTAAAAACACAATATTAAGGGGTCTGCCACACAGAGGGCTTGGGTTGCCTCAAGTCCACATATAGTATAGTATAGCCATGGGAAAGAGTCACAAAAGAAAGGCTAAACCATTATTTGGCTGTTTTCCAAGGTCTGGATACATTTACCACAGCCATACTTAAAAAGGAGTACAATCATTTATTGATCTGCAAGAGCTATGTGCTAGTCCCTCCTAGGCAACTCTAACCATGTGCGATTTAAGTGGCTTTCTTTCTAAATGAAACAGGAATCTGAAATCCATGCATTATGTCACAACTGGAGCATGACAGGCTCTCACTGAGGATGTGAAGGGAGCATAAGATTCAGCCGATAAGAAGGCTGGTCCTCCTGGAAAGCAGTGTTTCCTCTAGGAGCTTTGCTAGCATATGAATTTAGGGGAAACCGGGACTTGCCAGCATTTTGACAACTACGCGTAGGTATGTGAAAGGATCACTTTAGTCAAGGACATGTAGAAAACTTCCTGGCACTTTGGTAGGAAAATTGCAGGCACTGAGTGTTCATTTTCACGTATATATTTTTAGAGGAAACTGGGGAGAAAATCTATCCTATCAGTCAGAAGTTGTTATCTTTGTCAGAGAGGAGAGCAAGCTGGATAGAGAAAGTTTACTGTGTGTCAGGAGGGAAGATGCCTCAGAAGAATGAAGTATTTGGGGCACTTGAACAAGACTAAAATGAATAAGGACGAAAAAAAATTCTACTTGTCACAAACTTTGGCTAAATGCACTTGTTTAACTGGCAGTTAATTGACTTTCTATCATAGTAACAAGAAAGAAAGTTTGACTTCTTTTCCGATTGGTAGCCCCTTGATCTCCTTTTGGTGTCTTATTGCTCTAGCTGGGACCTCAAGAACTATACTGAATAGATATGGAGAGTGGGCAACCTTGTCTTGTTCCTGATTTCAGTGGGATTGCTGGAAGTTTCTCTCCATTTAGTTTGATGTTGGCTGTTGGCTTGCTATATATTGCCTTTATTATGTTTAGATATGTTCCTTATATCCCTGCTCTCTCCAAGACCTTATCATGAAGGGATGTTGTATTTTGTCAAAAGCTTTTTTGGCATCTAATGAGATCACCATGTGATTTTTATTTTTCAGTTTGTTTATATGGTGGATTATGTTGCTGAATTTTCATATGTTGAACCATTCCTGCATCTCTGGGATGAAGCCGACTTCATCATGGTGGATGATGTTTCTGATGTGTTTTTGGATTCGATTTGCTAGTATTTTGTTGAGTATTTTTGCATCAATGTTCATGAGTGAGATTGGTCTGTAATTCTCTTTCTTAGTAACAAGAAAAACAGCATCCCTACACGTAAACATTTCTATAAATAAAAGAATATATATACATATATACATACATACATGTGTGCATGCATGTGTGTGTGTGCGTGCACGCATGTACACATGCACCAGGATAGAAGCTAGGTCCTTGCACATGCTAAGTAAGCATTCTACTGCTGGGTTACTTCTCTAGTCCTTTGTTTGATATCGTGTTCTTTAATTATGTAGCATTTTAGGAAGAAAACAGGTTCTAAAGTGAGACAGATCAAGATGTGAATTCTAGTTCTTCTAAATACTAACTTATGATTCTGGTCAATTCTTTTCTAGTTTTAGCTCCTTATCTGATGAATGCAGTCAATTTATAGGGTTTTAGTAGGATCTGAGAAAAACACCTGGGACTTACAATGCAGAGAGTATGTTATCAGGAAAGGGTTACTGAAGTATTAAAGAAAGCCAATGCCTAGAGAACTCACAACCTCCTTGGGTAAAGCGAGGGGTGTACCTCTTATTCTCAGTATCAGTATAGCAGCTTTTCTTATTTCTGCTACATGTTTAAAAAAAAACAACCTAGAAACTGCTTACTCTCTGCTCTATACTTTCTCCAAACATTTAAAAAGAAGATTGAAAAGAGACACCAATAAAAAACTAAATATTCATTTAAGATAAAGTAATACATCTGAGGATAACAACTTGGTAAAAGCTCTAAAGAGTTGCTTGGAGTTTTATTTCATGCATATGAGGAAAGGAACATTCACTTTCTTCTTCCTTCTACCATATCAGCATCCAGAACATATTATACATTGATATTACAGTGCTATGGATTTGCCTTTCTATGTTGAAACCCCCTGCATTTACCAGAATCCGATGCGTTACTTCAGCTGGAGATTCAGGGACATAAGCCTTGTTCAGCGCAGTGAGATCAGTTTAATAATACTGTGATCTTGGAAAATAGTTATCAAGATGGATAATGACCACCAAGTGCTACTTATAAATGGAAATGGCTCTTGTGCAATCTTAAAAGATATAAAAGAAAACTTAGCAGCTGAAAATGTATTTAAAATACCTTACTATTTCCCTACACCCCATGCGTTTAGTTTACATACCTGGAAGCTTTGTCAGGGATCCGAGATGGAGAAGAATGGCTGCTTTTCTTCTCTTCTGAGTCCTGGAGTAACACATCCTCTGTTCTTCCTTTCTCTGTCCCGGCCTTGCTTTGATCCACACTGAGCTGGCCTTGGTCAGGGTCACACCTGTACATGAAGACAATGGCGGGCTTCTCATTGGACTCCCCTTTCGTCTCTGTGAACCAGTGATGGCGCTGGACCGGAGGCGGCGGCAGCATGTGGATGACTGTTCCATCCAGGCCCACCAGCTTCCCTTTCTCTCGCTCCTTCTCCTTCTCTTCTTCTTCATCTGCTTTCCGACGGCGGAAGAAGCTTTTAAATGATATCCAACGTTTGGGCTTTGCATCAGCTGCTCGCCTGCTGCCTTCAGCATGCAAGATTGATTCAGCTTCTGTGGATCTGGTAGGACTGGTTGGCTTGGTCCAATTGGTGAAATGCCTCTGCAAAAGATTACTTGCATGGTAAGGGGAGGAAGTAGACCGTGGTGGGGGAAAGGGAGGTGGTGGCTCACTTTGGGCACTGGTCACTAATTTGGAGGGAGGGGAAGTGACTGGCTTCACGAGTGGATCTTTCTGAATTTTAGTGGTAGGGTTTTCTGTGGTCTGATGTGCCTCCGCTTCCCCACTGGGCTGAGATGTAAAGAGAGATTTGGGTCGGACTGGTGTACTTTTCGGTATATCTTTTGCAGTATCTGCATCTGGAGGAATAGCGTAGAGCTCTTCCACACTGCAAGCCTTAGGGCTAGACTGAGGTGCTCCTGGAGGAGTCTGAGGGGGCTGGATAGAAGCCACAATCTGACAAAGCACAGCGCTTGCTTTCTCCCTGGTGCTGCCCCTGCTGCCTGCCACCTGAGACCCCTGAATGCCTTCTGCTTTGGCCGCGGGCTCTTGACTGGGTCTCTGGACTTTTGCTGGGGAGCTGTGGCTGGAACTATAGCTCCTTTGTGGAGAAGACTGACCTCTGTTGAGACAATTGTTAAACTCCTGAACCTTCTGAGCTACGGAGCCTCTTTTACGCTCTGTGCTGTTGGAAAAGCCTTTGGCTTGGGGACAGTCTGGGAGCTTGTTAGTGGCGTTATCAGACACCTTGCTGTCAGTTTCTATTTCTTCATAAGTATGGCTTATTACGCTTGTGGTTTTTTCTTTCACTGAGAGTTCTCCACTTGTTCCCAGAAAACTTTTGTAGATGGCGAGATTGTCATACGCATTTGGATTAATAACAATGGGAACTTTAATAGCGTTTTTGGAACTCCGGGCATAGGATGGCTCATCATGAATGATAATGGGGAAAGGTGGCATCCCAGCATTGTTGTAACTGTTAAATTTTATCTCAGATAAATTAGGTGACTTAACAGGGATGGTTTTGGAGGAAATGTTTGTAGCCGTGGGTGAAGTAGGTGCTGATTTATGGCAGTTTTTCCTTGGAGGGACATTTGGCCCAGTTCCCCCAGTACTTAATTCAATTTTAGGGATCTTTTGTCGTGGACTGGTGCTGGAAGTCCACACTTCCTGGTATCGGATTGCACTGGATTTTTTGACATGGGCATTCATTTGTCCTGGTGCCGAGGCAGGTGATGTTACTGGAGAGTTTGGAGTAGAGGATGAGCCTTTTATCTTGGGGCGCCCAAGGTGCTCACTGGCCATGGCTGCCGACACGTCCACAACAGTATATGGCTTACACAGCGGCTGTTCCAGATTCACAACGCGGTATGGCTTTGTCTGTTCTTCTACAGGGACGAGGCTGATGGTGACTGCTTGGCCAGCGATATCTGTAGAGGCTTTGTTTTCTGGCTTCTCAGTTTGTACTGCAATTTTGCCATCCTTCTCCTCTAAGCGGAGAGCAAGGACTGCTTTGTGTGTCTCTGGAACTTTTGCTGAGCTTTTGGAAGTTAGTGATGAGTCCTTCTCCTCATTCTTACCAGGAGGTCTTTCATAGCTAGACTCGGTTTCTGTCATGTCTTTAGACTCTTCTGGGTTACCAGGAGATAGCCCCCCATTACAGATCTTCTGAGATAAACTGCTGGCTGTTTCAGAACGTGACTCCTCTGTAAACGAGGAATCTGGCGATGTGGACTCAGATGACCCCATGCTCTGAATGCTTCCTTGACCATAGGAGACCCCAGAATTTTCTTCATAGCCATTAAGTATTTCATCATAGCTGTCATCATAGTCCACAGCACAGATTCTCTGCAGAGACTTGTTACGTAATGGGATCGTATTCCATTTTTTGCTCACAAAGAATCGAACAGGAGACAGAGTGTTAGCCCTGAAGTTAGCAAAGCGAGGTTGCCCTCTCATGCGAATCTCCATGGCTAGCAGCTCTTCGTCGCTCTCGTCCCAGCTCTCGTGCCCCTCTCCCATGTTGCTGAAAAGCACGTCTTCCTCGCTCTCCTCTCCACTGGAAAACTCGGGGTAGCAGAACCTGCCCCCTTCGTTACTGATGACCTCTGTGCTCCCGCTCAGAATCACGTGCTTGCCCTGAGAATCCTTCATGCTCCCTGTCATGCAACTTGGTGGGATCTTTCTTTCCAGTGATCGTTTGTAGCAATCGTTTATTCTTCCCAGGAATGTTTCTCTGGAGTTTGTTTCGTTTCCTCTCATCTGAGGCGTGGCATCCAGACCCGCTATCTCCTTCAGCACTTCGGTGAGTCCGTTGTTGTTGTTGGACATCTTCTTTGCGCTGTCATTATTGCCGCATTGCTGGGGGGCATGGCCAAAGCCTTCAGCATCGCCTTCAGAATTGTTGTTAAGTGGTTTCTGGCTCAGAGCTGTCTTGTTTTGGTTCCAGCCCAGGACGACAGGTTTGTTCTCACAGTGTTCTTGGATGCTCAGCTCACCACACACACTCTGCCCGTCTGCTACCATCATAGTGGGCTTCACAGCAATAGTGGGTTTCTTAGCCACAGGGGGCCGGAAATTCCCGGTGTTCCTGACACGGTGGTTGTTACTATGGTTGGCATTAGTTTTTACATTACCATGGGTGAGGGGTGTCTTCTCAGAGTCTGGAGGAAGCTGGTGTAAGCTTTTAGGTTTAAAGCAATTCTTGCATTCGCCGGGTTTCCAAACGTGTTCTGTGAAGGTGTTACAAGCAGACATTTTTAAAAATAGAACTTCACAGACAATGCGGTTTCTTCAGCGCATAGCAAGACTTGCATTTGCATCTGTTAGTTTTCACCTCCGTGTGTGGTTACAGCAGCTCCTCTAAGTATGATCAATCTGTGGGGGGGAAGGAGAGAAAGAAATCTCAGTGCAAAAGGCACTATGAGGTCTGCCATTATGAATGATGTGGAAAATAACTAGTTTTACTTTTAAACTTTTCTTCAAAAGATTGAGGAAAAAAAAACTAATCTGGGGGCTTTATAATTTTCCTTTAGTTAATCAGTGTCTTGGAAACTTAGCCTTCTAACCATAATTTTATGTAGCATACAAGTATGCACAATTTTTGGCTTGATACATATATGGAAATAATATTGTGGCCTCCTTTAGTGTGTGTGGTATGGAGTCAGGGTGGGTGTGCTGGGAGGGAACCTGCACCTCAAGCACACTAGGCAAATGTATCACTGAGCCACACTCCCAACCCCCTAGATTTGCCTTTGATACTGCTCTTTCTGTGCCAATCAATCTCTGCTTAGCATTTCTTAGTTCCCTATGGGTTCTTCTTCTTTCATCCACCCTTAAAATGTCAGCTACTTAATAGACTCTTCTAATTCAATGCATTAGAAAAATCCCCATCTGTCTACTCTGTTTCTCAACTCTAAACAATGTATCTCTTCTAACCAGTCCTCCTTCGTATACCAAGCCACCTTTATTTTATATTTTAGCTAATGTTACCACCATCTGCCTAGACAACTATGCATCATACCATAAACAGCAACTCTGTCTTTACTTTAAACTCTGAATGTTACTCTCTAAGTTAGCTTTTCCACTTTATCTCCTTACATTTCACTGGACCCCCATTCTTGCCATTGCCAGGCACTGCCAGCAGTTCCCATACTCGTCATCTCTGGTCTAGATTACTGGGATAGGTTATGAAGGGAGGCTGTACTCTCATACCGTTCTAATCCACCTTGTTTTCTTTTGCTACTGCAGGTGTGATTCTCAGAGAAGCACTTACTAGAAATAAAGTTCCTTTAGGTCCAACCCCAGACCTATGAAACCTGCATTTTAATCTCAGGTGAGCTCACAGTTCTACTACATCATCGGATGAAACTATATCTTCTCCTTACTAATAATTAGCTTGGTACAAGGCATTCTTGGTCAGTCTTACGTTATGCATTGCTTTCTAAGTTAGTGTGCATGCTGGGGGCTGCCAGGTGAATAAAAGTTAGAAGCAGAAACACTCTAACCTTTACCTAGTCAATATCTGGGGACAAATCAAGAATCTGCATTTTTAACAAGGTATTAGAACCTCTGAGCTGTAAGATGGGATTCATGCCTCTTAGCATCCATGCTGCATTTTGAAAATCAACTCTTACTATTCTATCTAATTGGGCTATTCATTTCTTCTTGGATTATTGAAGTCCTCTTTTGTTTCCACAAAGGCTTCCTTCCCTTCCTGCCTTGTGTATATGGTGCATGTAAGCATTTGTGAGTGTGTGCACATGTGCATGTGGAAGCCTGAGGATGCTATTTTGAGTGTGTATACATGTGCATATGGAAGCCAGAGAATGCTATTGTGAGTATGTACACATGTGCATATGGGAGACAGAGGATGATATTGTTGAGTGTGTATACATGTACATGTGGAAGCCAGAGGATGCTATTTGGTATCTTTCTCAGTTGTTCTCCACCTTATATTTTGAGATAGGGTCCTGCATTTAACCTGGAGCTCACCAATTTGGCTAGGCTGGTTGGTCAGCAAGCTCCTGGGATATGTCTGTTGCTGTCCCCAACAGCACTGGGCTTATAGACATGACACCACACCCTTCTTGATGATTGTTGGGCAAGCACTTTATTGACCAAGTCATCTCCGGAGCCATAGGCTTTTCATTTTTAATTGTCTGCACACCAGCTTTTATACTCCTTTAAAATCATAGTTTATGTCTCAGTCATCTCTTTAGGTCTGGGGTAAGGAACAGACACTATGCTTAAATGTACTGGTTTTAAAGATCTATGTGGCTCATGGCAGTGCTGCAGACCTTTAGAACACTACTGCAGTTCTATGCTTTTAGTTGGAATGATCATGAAGTATGTTGGAAGGATCAAGCCTCCTAATTTCAAGACTTATAGTATAAAGCTACAGTAATCCTAGTCTTAGGTTGGACAAAAGTACAGTGATTTGATACAAAATATATGAAAAAACTGAAATGATTACTTGTATCCCATCAAAATAAAAAATGTTGAATTGGGATATACCTCATGAGAGGATGGTTGTGTAGTACCCACAATGCTCTGGGGTCAGTACACATACACACTAGTAAAACAAGATTCTATCTAATTAAAAAAAACACTTTAAAACACAGAGGGCTTGGGAGTATGAGTTCAAATCCAGAGAAAACAAAAGATGGATTTTAGAAGACACACTGCCACAGATGTATGCTTATATATAGGTGTTGTGGAATATTATTTGAAGATGTGTTATATTCATTTATGCTTTGGAATATTTGTTTCATGATGCAAAGATGTGTTGGATCCTTTTACGCTGCACTTGTTTAACTCTGTGAAACTGCTACTTTGCCTGTCTAACACCTGATTGGTCTAATGAAGAGTGGAATGGCCAATAGCTAGCCAGGAGAAAGGACAGGCAGGGCTGCCAGGCAGAGAATAAAGAGAAGGGGAAAAGGCAAATAGAGAGGAGTGAGAAAAGGAGAGGGAGAGGAGGACACCAGGGGCCAGCCACCCAGCCACCCAGCCACCCAGCCACCTAGCCACACAGCCACCTAGCCACACTGCCACACAACCTAGCCACCCAGCCACACAACCTAGCCACCTAGCCATACAACCTAGCCACCCTGCTACACAACCACCTAGCCACCCAGCCACCCAACCTAGCCAACCAACCTAGCCACCCAGCCACCCAACTAGCAATGGAGTAAGAAATAAAATCATAAAGAACAGAGAAAGATAAAAAGCCTAGATAGAGGCAAAGGTAGATGGGATAATTTGAGTTAAGAAAAACTGACAAGAAAATAAACAAAGCTAAGGCTGGGCATTCATAAGAAAGAATAAATCTTCATGTATTTATTTGGGAGCTGAGTGGTGGGCTTTCAAGGAGAAAAACAAACAAACAACAACAACAAAAACAAAAAGCACAACTATATACAGGCAGTTTATAGCTTATAAACATGTGACTCTACATATCATTTGTCATATAGAAATGCAAATTTCAACCATAATAATGCACCATTATGAATTTAGTGGAATGATTAGTGAGCATGTTTGTGGGGGTGGGAGATGACCAAGTGGAGCAATTATGGGAACTTGGATGGTTCAGGCATTTTGGAAAACAGTTTGGCAGTTTCTTGTAAAGTTAAACATAAATTTGCCTTGATACCTACCAATCTCATTTTTCAGTATTTACTAGAAACAATGAAAACTTCTATTTACACTAAATACTAAATATAGTACACAACCAGTATACAGAGATTTACAGACACAACCTGGAAGCGATCCAAATGCTCTATGGTGGTAACTATGTAACTGTACACATTTGTCAAAACTCACAAAACTTCAGTACTATATGTAAGTTAAACTTCAATGAACCTGAGCTGTAAAAAGACAGTTTGGGCTGGACCGAAAATGGACTTTGGAGGAAAGAATGAAAGACAAGAACATTTTAGTCGGGAATATTCTTTTTTTTTTTTTTTTTAATGTATACAATATTCTGTCTGTGTGTATGCCTACAGGCCAAAAGAGGGCACCAGACCTCATTACAGATGGTTGTGAGCCACCATGTGGTTGCTGGGAATTGAACTCAGGACCTTTGGAAGAGCAGGCAATGCTCTTAACCTCTGAGCCATCTCTCCAGCGAAAGACAAGAACATTTTAAAACGCTGCTATAGGCATGTCAATATCTGATGAGAATCTGGCCCAGGGTGTGGCACCACATCAGGGAAGGCACAGAAAAGCAGAAGAGAGAACAGCTGGACTCTGAAGAGTCAGGAGGTGCTAAGGTGGAGCTTATGTGCTCCAACAATGTGTACGGGTGTTTACCAAGACTGTACCACTGGAAGAGGCCTGACTTCTGTAGGAGGATGGTCAGTACAGACTCTGGGAGCCTGCATACAACGAAACAGGCTGTTGATTTTACCAACCTAGAACACAGGAGTCTCATCTGCTTGGGACTGCTAGCAATGAGATATTTTCTGGGCTACGGTTTGTCATGTGAACCAGGGAAAAGAACATAACTTTTTCTCTCAGAAAAAAGCATGTTGCATTCAAGGTAACGATGAGGCAGAAGCCGGAGAGAGAAGACAACTATTTCACATGCTGCTGAGAGGTACTGGGAAACGAGGACTCACGTGTCCTATTAGACTTGATGGGAGAGACTCATCAGTCACCTTAGCATGGAGACAGTAGTAAGGATGGAATCCAGACGGTAGTGGGTTGGAGAGTAAAATGATGGAACAATGGTGGAAACTCTTTGGAAAAGTTTGGGTGGGAAGAGTTGGAGATTCAGAAATGACTTCTTGATTTTAAGACAGGAGGAAGGAGATAATGTTGAATGATAATATTGGATTACAGAGAAGAATAGGAAACAGAAAAGGCAAGAAAAAATAGCACAATTCAAATCTTTGAATGTTAAAACTGACAAAGCCCTCTTTTCATTCCTTTTGCCTGATGAACCCGTGGGTCAAAAGACCAGGAAAAAAAGACTCTCCTAAGCTTACAGCTTAGGAGACCCGAGACTTAAGGCTACACCATCTATGTTTTGTTTATAACTGTATCTATATGATGTGTGGACAAGAGGTTCTCCTCCCACCTGTGAGGGTTCTGGGGATCAAATTCAGGCTGTCAGGGTGAGCAGCAAGCAACTTTACCTGCTGAGCCATCTCGATGACCCGATTATATGCCTAAAATTGCTATTTCTTTTCTGTTGTCGTTAGTTTTCCTCCTTTTGTTTAGTGAAGACTTCCTGGGAATTAAAAAAAAACAACAAAAAGTAAAAAACAAGAACAACAAAATGCTAGAATAAAAACAGAAATCCTATTGAAATCCTTGTGAAATCCTATTATTCAGAATTAATTTCTATCAGTAACTTGAGGCATTTCCTGTGAGTCACCAAGTTTTCTTTGTTTTAAACATGTTCTATGTACTTAGCACCATATGATGTTGAATAACAAGAGTAAGACATCCTGCCTGATATCTTGCCAACCAAGCTAACCTATTCATATTTTCTTTATAAGTAGTACATTGTTTTATTTCCCCCCCCAAGATTAATAAATATGAAAAATAATTTCCTACTCTGAGTGAAAGTTAATCAAAAGATGGCTGTGGAATTCATTAGCAGCTATCACATTAATAAAATGACAAATGAGATTCATCAGGAACACAACTAGCTCATATCAGCACTCTCTGCCCTAGAAACCCGTCCTGGAGTGGCCGTTCCTTTGAAAGTTCTGTGTCCATCTGCATTTATGTTGCCATAGAACCAAGAAATGAACTGAGCAGACACCTTCGGCAAGCACCAGATGGAGCTGCTGTCTAAGCCACAAAACCTGGATTTTGAGGGCTTCATTTTAAACACTAATAATGTTTGGAGACAAAGATGTTCGGTTAAAGATGCTGTCAAAACTATTTTAACGCAATGCCGGCTCTTAGAGAAAGAAGTTATACCACATGCAGGTCCATCCAAAGCACGATCCTCCGGCTTTAATGCCTTTGTGGAATGACTTAACGGGCAATCGATAACACCTAGCAGTTTTTCCCGCTCAACAATGCCACTTGCCAAACAGGAAATTTGAGTCACCAAAGTTATGTTTGAGGCGTTGGAAAAGTGTCTCCTGAAGCACGTACACAGGGAAACACAATGGTGCATGCTGGGACCCGCTACTTATCTGCTAGAACAGGTCTGACACAGAACACTAAAATGCAGTGTTTGGTAAGCAAAGCTCAACTGCTCGTATATTCCTTACAATCTTTTTATTTAATTTTCATGACGATGTATTTTGAACATATTTCCCTTTCCTCCAAATCCACCCCACCCCTACGTACCCAACTTTATGTTCTTTCCCACTCCTTCCCCCTTCCCTTATTCTTTCTAAAAATAAAACAAAAAATTAAAATCAAATAAAATTCAGTAAGACAAGACAAAACAAAACAAAAACCACCAAAATTAAACAAAAAATACCCTCTCAAAAAATCCCAAACCCCATGGACTCTGTTTTATGCTGACCTGCCTCCGAGTGTGGTGATATACCCAAAAAGCATCCCACTGGAGAAAACTGATTTTTCCCTTCCAAGATACCTACACAAATGGCTCCGGGGTTAGGGGTGGGACTTGTGTCCACTTCTCCTTCTCAGTGCTGGGATGACTCCAAGGGAAGAGTGTCCAGACTCAACAGGACTGATACACACTTGAACTTACAGAGGCTGTGACAGCACATAAGACCTTCACAGGCTCAAAACAAACACAAGTCCTTATCATCCTAAAGCAAATCCTCTAGATGGACTGGTTGATGGGGAGAATTTAATGGCTGAAGCTGCCCCCAGAAGCTAGCTAGGATCCCATGACCTAGAATTCCGTTTCATAACTTTCAGGATGAAATCCTCCCAGCTACAAGATAAAGCTATTCAAGAGTGGCTGATTTCACTTTGAATCATGAAGGCCTTTTAAGAACCTCCTATTGCTTTATGCTCTTTGCTGCTCCACAATGACTATAATTAGTTTGCTTCTTGTCCAACTGTTTCAAGTAGATTTGACAAAAAAAAAAAAAAAAAAAAAAAAAAACAACCAAATTCATGCTGGATTTCAAGCTTGGATTAAACTGCCAGCGTCAAGACCGAGAGCGCCTCAAGAAGGACACAATTCTTGTCCTTAAAAAGGGACTGTGTAGGTGGTCTATTAACCACCACATACATCGCATTCTTTAAAGGTAACAAAGGAAATCTCTTAATCCTAAAGGAACATGGGGAATGGACTGCTAAGCTCCATCCTCAATCCTGCACCTCCTGAAGGCACTAGCTCTCTCTCTCTAAAATCTGTCGCATTTCCATGGTGGCAAAGACACGAATCCTCACTGCTGCCGTACACAGGAGCTAGGCCACACTCGGCTCACAGTAGTCAGTCTCTAGGATTCCAGGGTAAAATTTATAAAGCAAGATTCTCATTAGGATACGTAATGGGATATGTGGTTCACTTATATATAAAAAAGTAAAGGAAAATGTGACAAGCATAGCACGCCATTGTTCCCAACCTTTCCTTGTTCCACACTGAAAACTGCTGTCAGACATTCTACCAGAGGCAGAAACCTTTGGTACATGACTGAAAGGGAGGGAGAGGAAGTGGGAGTAAAGCTGCTGGAAGAAGTCTGCAGGAGGTGAAAGACAGCTTCAGTGTGGAACACAAATAGAAATCCTATGAGAAGGACCTTGAGACCTGACCTGATGATGATGATATAGTAACAGTAACAACAACTACAATCATCATCATCATCACAGTTCCCGGCCACCACAAGAATAGGCAAGCTCTTAAGATACCAAGTTGTCATACCTAAACAAGAGATCAAAGTAAAACATGCTTAATTTGCATACCTTAATGCCCTATTACAAGATGATGAAGCCCATCCACCCCCAGCTGCTCTAACCACAGCAGTGTGCTGGTCTTACCACAAGGTAGTCATCCCAGGTAAGAAGTGAGGAGCAGCAAGTGCAGCACAACACAGCAATGCAGCACAACACAGCAATGCAGCTAGGTCCCAGCTCAGCGTCAAAGTTTCTCTTTGACGAACCAGTCAAATACATTTAGTATCACTCCTACTTATAACTTGATAGCAACTAGTTTTATTATTAAAGTATCAAAATGTTCTCTAAACTTTCATCAAACCTTTTCTTAGGTCATTTATTAGAGAAGTTAAACTGTTATTAATAATAGCCAAGGGCTCCATATTTTGTCTTGTTCATGAACTGTTCTTTCTGGTTAGATTAGAATGACCCCTGATACTGTTCTGCTTGCCAAGACTATTTCCCTTCATGACCTTGTTTGGATGTAACCTCTGTGATGAGTTTTTACTGATTCCCTAAATATTATTATATTATACCATACTATAAATATCTAAGTCCTGAGAAGACAGGACTGTGCGATGTCCTTCTGTTATTTGCACCAATGAACTGCTTAGAAAAAACTAGACCCTAAGTAAGAACATGCTGAATATATTCTAGTAAGTAACAGACATGGAGTCACTGTGCCCACAAAGAGTCACAATTTTCAAAGACCTTGTGATGAGCATATTATTTGTCTTGTTTTTAGGATGAAGGAACTGGGATTTGCCCAAGGTCACACAGAGCTAGCAGAGCACAGGCAGCACGGGTGAATGTAAGCCATGCATGCACAAGTGGTTCAAATGGCTCCATTCAGCTCCCACTGCTGTCCCAGCGGAGAAAGCTGGGCTGAGCATTAAATTAGGGAGTCTCGCTGACAGAGAAGACAGGTTGTGTGTAAATTACAAGAAAAGGAATGAGGAGAAGAGAGATGACGACTACTTAAAAGGAAGAAAAATAAGCAAAGGGAAAAGAAAATTTGGAAGAAAAAAAGAGTCGATTATTCTACAAGAAGAAATCCCACTTCTATGATTTTAGCAATATAACCATTTCTGGAAACTTCATTATCTAGTGTGACTTGTACTTTGGTAGGTGGTATTATATTTCCAACTAAACTAAAATTTTCTTCAGAGTAAACAATATGTTCTATAGAACATTTAATTTAAGCTTTTAAAGAAGAAATGCTAAATTAATCAAAAGTCTGAACTACACAGTACTTTGAGAAATACAAATTTATTATTAGGAAAATACTGCCTGCAACAAGTTTTAAAATGTACTGAAAGAGTACTTCCTAAACTGGGACCCAGGGTGTATTTTTCAAGGTCCTGTGATTCTCAGAACAGGTTAGTATTGAGTGGAAAGTAAAATCTGTCTAAGTTAACACACGAACTTGGGGGATGGCTCAGAGGATAAAGTGCTTGCTGTACATTGTGAGCCTGGGTTCAGATCTGTGGCACCCACATAAGATACTGGTGCAGCAGTTTGTGCATGTGACCTCAGCACTGTTTGAATAGGTTTGATGGCTGGAACTTGCTGGCTAGCCAGCCTAGCTGAAACAATTAGCTCCAGGTTCAGTGAGAGACTCTATCTAAACACACACACACACACACACACACACACACACGATGGAGAACAATAGAGCGTCACACCTACAGTCAACTTCTGGCCTCCATAGGCACACCAAAGAGCACACTGGCTTCAATACACATGAGCATATCACACATACACTGCACATACATTGGCATAAATGCTGGGCCATTACAATTGCCACTTACAACTACAAAGCATATAAACATTATTTGTAGGTCTGTGTGTACATTTGTGGTTATAATGTGAGCTGGCACCTAGCACACTACTATTATAAGGAAAAAGAAGGGGAAAAACAGGTTCAGACCTTATGTAAATGACTCATCAGTTCCAAGTGAAGACAAAAATGACATCGTAATATAATCAGTATTTATTGTGCCAAGGTTGGATTTTTAGTATGTTAGGAAGGGACTGGAGAGATGGCTCAGTTGTTATGAGCACTTGCTGCTCTTCATGAGGATCTGAGTTTGTTTTCAGCACCCAAGGGCAGCTTTCAACTGCTTATAACTTCACCTGGCCTTCAAGAACACCTTGCATTACACATGCATACACAGGAATAAACACATAGTTAAAAATAAGTCTTGAAAAAGGAAAGAAAGAAATATGGCCTAAGAGGACCAAGCTTGGCATGGTGCTATGATAACTATAATTCTAACACATGGGGGATAGAGGCAGTAGAATCAGAAATTTAGGATAACCCTTAATTACATAGTGAACTGGAGGCCAGCATGGCCTACATGAGACCCTGTCTCAAAAAAAAAAAAAAAAAAGTAAGCCAGTGTTAATGAA